TGCTGACCATTTCTTTCTGCTGCAGGGCAAGATGCACAGACCTTCAACTGGGAAAGTTACCTGGAAAAGACTAAATCAAGACCTGCTCCAGCACGGCTCTTCAACACAGTGAGTAGTGCCAGGAAGAAGAGATGTATAGGGATGCTTATAGGAGGCGCACAAGAGCTCTGGCTGTTGTTAGGTGGGAGGGACCTCTGGAGGTCATCTTGTCCAATGCCCCTGCTCAGATAGGGTCACCTAGAGCCCAGGACCCTGTCCAGGTGTTTTTTGAATATCTCCATGGATGGAGACTCTACGACCTTTCTGGGCAACCTGTGCTCAGTCACCCTCGCAGTACGAAGTGTTTTCTGATGTTCAGAGGAACCTCCTGTGTTTCACTTTGTGCCCATTGCATCTGGCCATGGCCCTGGGCACCACTGAAAAGAGCCTGGCTCCATCTTTATACCTTCCCTTCAGATACTCGCATACGTTGGTAAGATCCCCCTGATCTTACCTTCTGTTCTCCAGGCTGAACAGTCTTGGCTCTCTCAGCCTCTCCTCATATAAAAGGTGCTCTAGTCCCCCTATCATCTTCCTGGCCCTTTGCTGGACTCTCTCTAGTATGTCCATGCCTCTCTTATCTGGGGAGCCCAGACCTAGACATGGTACTTGAGGTGTGGCCTCACTGATGCTGAGCAGAGGGGAAAGATCACCTCCCATGATCTGCTGGGAATATTCCTCCTAATGCAGCCGAGGATACCATTAGCCTTCTTTGTCCCAAGGGCACATTGGTGGCTCATGTTCAACTTGGTGTCCACCAGGACCTCCAGGTCCTTTTCTGCCAAGCTGCTTTCCAATCATTCAGCCCCCAGAATGTGCGGGTACCTGGGGTTGTGCCTTCCTGGGTGCAGGACTGTGCATTTCCTTTTTTTTTTTTTTTTTTTTTTTTTTTTGTACTGCATGAGGTTGTCGGGACCTTTGTTCAGCTTGTCAAAGTCCCTCTGGATGGCAGCACAACCCTCTAGTATATTAGTTTCTCCTCCCAGTTTTGTATCCAGCAAACTTGCTGAGTTTGACATGACACTCTGTCGTGTCATCCAGATAATTAATGAAGATGCTGAATAGGATTGGCCCAGTATTGACCCCTGGGGTACAGTGCTAATTACTGGCCTCTAACTAGGCTTCATGCCACTAATCACCACCCTCTGGGCCCAGCCACTCAGCCACTTTTCAACCCACCTTGCTGTCTCCTCACCCAGCCCATCAGTGTCTGTCATGATCTTATGGGCGACAGTGTTAAAAGCCTTCCTGAAGTCAGGGTAGACAATATCCAATGTTTCTACTGGGCTGCTCTTTGCTGCTGGTCAGCACTTCTATGAAGAGCCTAAGGTACGGAAGTGTGTGCTCTCCAAGTAAAGCCCTGTTTGCCATGACACTAGCAGTGTCATGTCTTTGTGGATGTAATGATATCTTGGTCCCTCTGAGTGTGACCTATGATTCTCTAGTGTTTCCAGGAGCTCCAGGCTCCTGGTGGATTCCACACTGCTTGTTGCTTGTGGACATGTGGCTGGCACTTGGGTGAAGGAGGTCTGCTTGGCATCAGCAAAACTGCTGCAGACCCTGGGCCTGTGCCAATCTTTCTGATTTCCTAGGGCTCTCTCAGGTTAATGGGTTTGAGTGGTTGTCCTTTAACTGCTGCCTGCTGCTCCCCCTAGGTCAGGATCTTGTTTCTAAAGGCTGGGCTGAGATTCACTAAGGACAGAGCTGGCCTTGGATCTATTCACGTGTGCCCCCTTCTGTTACGCAACTGATTAGTTCTGTTGCATGACTGTAGGCTTGTTCTCTCTCTGCTTGCTTTAATCTAGAGGCAAGCCTGTAGCTGTTCTAGGCTGCTGGTGGCCAGGTGTGGGTTTGGACTGGGTGCAATGGCCTTGGGGTTTTTTTTCTTTTTTTTTTGTTTTTGCACCCAGGACTGTCCAAACCACGGCTTCAAGGCAGGCATGAAGGTGGAAGCAGTGGACCTGATGGAGCCCAGGCTCATCTGCGTGGCCACAGTAAAACGTGTAGTCCAGCGTCTCCTTAGCATCCATTTTGATGGCTGGGACAACGAGTATGACCAGTGGGTGGACTGCGAGTCTCCAGATATTTATCCGGTGGGGTGGTGTGAGCTGACAGGCTACCAGCTTCAACCACCTGTTGTTCCAGGTGAGTGAAGATTTGACTGTGATTTTTATCACAAGAAGCAAAGGTTTCCTTCCTCCTGCTCAGTGAGTGGCTCCTCCTTTTTGGGCCTTGTAGGGAGGAGAAAATTACCTCCTTGATTTGCGCTGGCTACCATAAGTCTTCCTCTGCTGCCAGACATTCTAGCAACTGGCAGAGGGACAAGTCTGTGGTGGGGAGAAAACAGCCTGAGATTTGAGATTGGCTCTGTTTTCCCTCTGTTCCCCCACCTGCGCACCAACAGAGAATTGCTCCTGATGAAGTTGGGTAGAGTTCCAGGTGGTTCTATCCCTGCACAGCTCCCTTTTACTAAGCGTACCTACAACCTCAGCCAGGTAGCAGGGGGAGCTCGGCCCCTGCTCCCTTTTCTCATCAATTCTCTGATTCTCTCTGTAAAAGGTAAGAGCATCCCTCTCAAGAGTTTATTCCTTCCCTTGTCACCGGGAGGCCACTGCCTCACCTTTGCAGATGTTTTCCTTCTTGTCCCAGGCTACATATCTTGTTTCTTTACTGCCCCTGCCAAATCTCTACTGGGCCTCTCTCCCCTATGCTGCCCCAGCCTGCCACCCTGGGCCCTCGCCTGGAAGCACAGACAGCAACTGCACTGGAGCCTTGCTTTCCCCTCAGCTGGTTGTCTTGGGAAGAGGGCGTTGGCTCGGGGGGACGGGTATATCTTGTTTCTCGCTTATGTCACTTCATCCCAGTTACCTACTGGTTATGGGACTTGGCTTTCGTTTCCCTCTCGTCTCCATGACAGAGCCCACAACTCCAGTGAAGGCCAAGGAGGTGCCCAAGAAGAAGAAGAAACCCTATGGAAAGAAGAGTGAGTGATGTTTGATTAGTGCCCTCCCGCTCGCTCGCAGGCTGGGCCCAGTTAGAGGAACCCTGTCCATGTCCCATCAGAGCAGGAGAGAGAGGCCTTGTCTTGCTGTGGATGCCCTCAGTCGGCTGTGGGTTTGGAAACACAGCTTCATCCTTCTTAACTGCCCCTGTTGCCTAAGAGAGCAGAGAGCTGTGTGTGTGGGAAGGATCTGGTTTGCAGTCTGTTTTCTGTTGGCCGAGGTATAGATGGCGCTTGCTTCCAGGCGTGAGGTTGTGCTGCTTTCCCCACTGTGTCCGTGGTTGGAGGGAGATTGTTTGCTACAGCTGGAGGGTGGCTGGAGACCAACCCTGCCTGCTTTGTGCCGAGGCAAAGAAGGCCTTAAGATGGCTGAAGAGGCCAGTAGTGGGGCTGGATCGTGTTATTGTTTCATCTTGTCGTTGTTCTCGTCATTGTTGCAGTAGCTGTGGCAAATCATGTGTAGACAGGCAAGAAATTCCTTCCTGGGGGGTGGAGAGGAAAGGACATCTAAAGAATATAAAGACATTCAACCTAAATAAAAACGTCAGCTAAAAATGAAAACATAATTGCTACAGTGTCCGTGCCTTGGAGCCAACATGCCCATTGCCTAGGACTAGACCCAGACAGGTAAGCAAAGCTGACTGATTCCAACAGGACCCGCTCCTTGGAAGTTAAGCACACACTGAAGTGCCCTGCCTTTAATGAAGGAGAACACGGAGGAGCATATTTTGAGATAATGACTAGAGTTTTTCTCCAGTAGGCCATTTCTGTCGAGTAACCAGTTGGCAGCTAACGACCACGTAGCTTGCTGGTCAGTTGTGCTGGTCCCTGGCCTGTGGTTTCTCAGTGGAGCGGGGTTGCTGATTTTCCAGGGGAAAAGAAACACGCTTTTCCCCATGCTCTGTTATCTCTTTGTTAAGGAAAAAAGTTACCTGCCAAAACCCGCAACATCAAGCAGACTGTCAAGAAGCCTTCCGCCCCGAAGATGAAACGAGAAGCCAAAGCTGCCAGCAAGGCTTTGCCAGAGCCAGCACCTGATGAGAGTAAGGGAGTGATTACTCTACCCAGAAGCCACGTGCAACTCTCTCGTGTAGGGCCTGCGTGCCACTGGCCCTCCAGAGGCCTGTGCTGCCTCTTGACCGTTAAGTCACAGGTGCCCCCAGGCAGGGAAAGGCAGTATGTGACAAGTGTCCTTTCCCACTCCTTCAGAGACAGAGAGTGGAAGAATGCTTTAGCCGGCCTTCCCTGGGACATTTTGCCTCTTGAGGAGGTTTACTGATACCAGTATGGCTGGATATCTTTGATACTGGCGATGCCTGCTGCAGGCCTGGCTGCCCTACTGAGCAGTCTGGTTGTGTGAGGTCAGTTAGGGAGGATAGTCAAGACAGACATGTCAGAAGCGTGCTGTCATATCCCAGTCCCCATAAGGGCTGTCACAACATGTGAACACAGCCCATCATGCTGAGCACCAAAAGATGTGGTGACCAGAAGAGCATCTGGCAGCTGGGTCATCTGACAGCCCTGATGGGTGTTGAGGAAAAAGGGTGGGTGAAGTGGTTTCATGGGGATGGAGCCTCATGAAGGTCTTCATTGCTTATAGATCTTTAATTTCCCCTGTGTGGATCCAGGCAGGTAGAGAATGGACCACACTGGCTTTTACTCCCTAGGAGAAGTTGTTCTTGGAAGCAGGCAGCTGAATGCTGCTGGTGTTTAGTCCCATCCTGATTGCTGCTGTGACCATGGATAGATTTGTGCTGGCAAGACAGGGCTGCCTGTGGTAAGGGACCCTCAAGAAGTGGGCTGGAAACCTGGGGTATTTTGAGTGTCTGTGTGAACAGAACTGTTTCTGGGGTGCTGCAGGTAGAGTGAGGCAGCATGGGTTGATTTTACTTACTTATTTTTCCCTCTCTCTTTCTGTCTCTTGTTAGTCATTGCTGTGCAGGTGAAAGAAGAAACCATCGACCCCTCGGTAGTAGAGTTTGAAGCTACAGAGCTTCCCATTCCTGTCAGCAGCATAAAGCAGGAGGTCACAGACTGATCCTGGGGTATCCTCTAGCTGCCCACAGCAGCCTGCGCTTCACCTCGTGACTCTTTGGGGAAAGTCCTGGCAAAGGGAAGTGGAGGACTAAAAGGGCCTTCCCTTTTTGAGGCAGACCACCCTGCAACATCACAACTCTGCTTTCCTGGTGCGCAAGAAAATTTCCCTCAGACTTTTAATTTTAAGCCCTGGGAAACAGACTCCAGAAAGGCCTCAGGTGTGCTGAGGAGCATGACCAGGGTGGCTGCTGGGGTTGTGTGTGCCTGGTTTTGAAGGTACCTTTCCGAGCAGGAGTTCCCGATGGGGGAAGAGGCTGCCAGAGCACGAAGGGGCAGTTTGGGTTCTCAGCCATGGCTGGAGGTGGCAAGCTGCAGTCTGAGATGATGTGTGCAGGTCACATGCGTCAGGAAATTGGCTGCCCTCATAGGACATTGGTGCTGTGCTCCCTGGTCTGGGCCCCACAACCCCTGAGAATGTCAGGATGGAAAGAATGAAGAGAGGTGAAAAACCAAAAAGGGATGATGATGGCTCTTGAGGAAGCAAGGGATCTTTTTGAGTGTCATCATTTCTTGCTTTTGAAGCCAGAACTGCAGAGGACATGGTGCAGTTTGAATTTTTAATTTTTTAGCAGTCCTACTGTAAATTTGACCTACGATCTGTACCCAAAAGCCCTGTGAATTAAACTTGAGGAAGATGCAAAAGGCTTGCGTATTGTTTTCTAGATCACCAAAATACCAGGGTTAGCCAAAATGGGGAGGCTGTCAGTGGGTGGGTGTAACTAAACAGTGTTTGAACTGTTCAGTGCATTTTTTTTTATTTTTTTTTTTTTTTGAGGCATGCAATAGGGGTTTTCTGTGCACTCATCCCTGTCTACTGGTCAGTTCTACTGAATATCACAAGAATGCAATAGATAACTTCAGGTGGGGAATGCCATTTCCCATTTTAGGGCAAAACTGTAATGTTCTCTTTCCACAGACTGGCCATCAAAGTACAGGACAGAAATCAGAAAGGTCAGTGTGGCAACAGTGGTGAAAAACAGTTTTAAATCTGTAGCAGGTTCTTGTGAACTTCCTGCAGGTGAGGAAGCGCCCTGCCTGTTGGTGCCACCACGGGGCCTGACTGGCTGTAGGGCAGGTGCCTTGTCAGACCCTACAGGCAAACAGCGGTGGCTGCCCAGGAGGCTGCCTTGGCCATGCTCCCCTCAAGGTTCCAGTTGAGAGCTTGTGATGCCGAAATAGTTCCGGCTTTGCACAGTGGTTCATGATTAAAAAAAAAATGTTGGCGAACTTACCATCTAGAAAACAGGGTAGAGACTGGGAGTAATTAACGCAGTCTTCCTCTTTTCCCTTCTAAAGAGGCAAATGGAGCCTTTAACTGGAGAGGAAAGAAAAGGCTGGGGGTGGGTGGGAGTGCAGTGAAACACAAGTGGAAAAAGCGTGGAGGGTCTGTGTCAAATGGGGCGCGAGAACTGTGCCATCTCAGCCCATCCCTATCGGACCCCGGGCGGGCCCTGGACTCCTGGGGAAACCACGACGGGGTGAGCACGGCGGGGGGGTGGGATTTTTATCGAAGGTGTGTAGTGACAGGCTTCCCTGCCCATGCCTGTCCCAGCAGCTCTGCCCATCACCAGCTCGCAATAGATGTCTCAATGCGGGAGGGTCCTGTTTCAGGGCAAAGCCATTGCGTTTCTCTCTTCCCCTCCCTCTTGGGCTGCCACCTTTCCCCAGCCTTGTCAAACAGCTGAGCTTGTAGGGCCACCTGTCTTTATAGGATGATAATTTCCAAATGCCTTTGGCTTTCTTCCTCCTGTTCTTTTTTTACTGTAACCGTTCCATGCCCCACATTTAATGACTAGAATTGTTTACCTTTTAAAGCCTTCTCAATTTGAACAAACTTCTGATTTTAAAATGGGGCTGGGGGTGGGGGATGTCCCAGCCTGGGCTGCTATGGGGAATAGGTCGGGCACATTGCTTGTGACGGGATCCCTTACAGGATCAGTGATCCCATTCCACTGATCACACCACCAATCAAATTTTGCAGGAAATAGAAAGGTTTTGATCTGCTTATGTTTTAATTCTGAGGAGCTGCTGGCAATTCAGGCAATGTTTTCACTGATGATAATTTTTAAGTTTTCTGTTCTAAGATTTGAGCTGGGGCAGGATCTTGTGTTGGTGCCATTTGCCCTCCCGCTCAGCGCTCTTCAATCATTTCTTAAGCTGTGAAAGCACAGCGCTCTTAAAAACAAAAACAAGCTTGTGGATTCCAGCTTTTCCGCATGGCTGGAGGGAGCCTTGGGAAGAAAAAGCAAGTGTTTGGCTTTGTTGTTTGAGTCATCAAAGCTGTTGCAAATACTACAGAAGCTTTTTGCACCAGTTCTTTCCAGGGCGATGTGCCTCTGTGTCCTGCAAAAAAACAACCTGGCATCTTTGGCAAATCGGCATCGCTCTGGTGGCACCAGGCTCTCTCTCCTTTGCACCATTAGCAATATCCATGTCGCTGCCTTGGGGACAAGTCTAGAAAAACTGCTCTCACCAGACTGTAGGTACAACCCTGTTGTGTCCTGCACACCTTTCCTAAGCTCTGCTCTTCTTGAAGCCTCTGGCTGGTGATTTTCCTGATCTCTTTTTCTTGCTGGGCTTGTTTGCAGCCTTGGTCTTGTCGGGAATGGCTCCCCCAGCCTTGCCTCGTCCCCAGCCAGGGCAGGTTTGGAAAGTCATGGAAAGCTTCACCTTCAGCCCCCGGGCTTCTGCAGGGGACCTGCAAGTGGCCCCGACACGGAGGTTGAGTTTGTTGATCCACCTGGAAATGTGGCAGATGATCAGGAAAAGGAGCAGGACAGGGCGAAGGGAGAGGTGAAACTCTGTGCCTGTGAGGGGCAAAGGTGACTTCAAAGCCAGGCCGGGTTGCTCAGGGCCTCACCTGGGTGAACTTTGAGTATCTGAATATCTGCCCACCCCAGCTTGTGGCTGGGTTCCCTACACCAGGAAAGCCCAGGCTACTTCCATCCTTGCATGTAGTCACACACTCCATCTCACCACTGTGGGAGAAGACTTGAAAAGGCCAGTGTATTGTGGGAGAAGACCCAAAATGGCTAGTGTGCCACGGGCTAGTGCCTCTGGTGCTGCAGGGTCCGGCTGTCCCCTGGATTGTCCCCTGGGGCTGTTTCCCTCCTTGTGGCACTCACCTGTGCAGGGGAAGGAGCTGGCAGTCGCAGTGGAAAGGCACATCCCTCAGGTTGAGGATCTCCAGCCCTGTGAAGTTGCTCATGTCAGGGATGTTGCTCATTTTGTTGCTCTCCAGGTAGAGGCTTCTGATCTTGGGACCAAGGCCAGCGAAGGCACCAGGGGAAATCTGCAATAAAGTGAGGGCAAGTCAGGGTGGTTCTGATGGAGGCAGGGGAGCAAATCTCTGCCCCTGCACTGCTTATCAGCCTGGGGGGCTGAGAGAGCCTGTCTGGAACCAGGCGGCCCCATGAAAAAGCTGTTTTAAGCAGCAGCACACAAACTTGGGGACTGTTAATTAACTCAACCAGTTTCGGTCACATTTTGGGACTCGCTAGACCCTGCTCAGTCTTGCTGGAAGGAGGGCGACATGCAGGAGGTCCTAGAGTGATCTCTGGGCACTGTTAAAGGTGGATGGGCCTTACGAGAGTGGTGCTAACACTGCTTGCTTTAGAGGATGGAGGAGTTCAGGGTAATACTGGTGAAAAGTCTCACAGGACAGCTCATAACAAGAGCAGGAGAAATATGGCCAGGGCTGGGGGAAAGGGGTGGTTTGAGGAATGGTTTCAACCCCACTGAAACTGGGTGTCTTTAAGGACTGAAGGGAGTGAGGCTGTCCCAGGGGAGCTGGGGGACAGGTTGGAGCAAGACAACGCTCTGGCTGAGCCCAGGGAGGCCTCTTCTCCTTGGATCAGGCTATGGAGCATCTCCTGAAGCCTTTAGAGTTCAGGGACATCCATTCAGATGCCCCTATAGGGGCTATCAGCCCTGAACGATGGAACAAGATGGGACCTATGGCTGTGCCCTGCAGTGCCCCTGCCCCTCGGAGGTCCCCAGCCACGCGCACCTGCTCCAGGCCCATGTTGTCCAGGTAGAGATGCTGCAGGCTGGAGGCCACCGGCAGGAAGGCACCATCCCCCACACGCTTGATGGGGTTTCGGGACAGCTTCAGCTCGCTCAGGGCAGGCAGACCCCACAGGGCTGATGTGGGCACCTCCACCAGGCGGTTTCCATCCAAGTGCAGCTTCTCCAGCATCTTGGCAGGAGCTAAGGTGGCGGGGGCAATGTGCCTGATGGCGTTCCCAGTGAGGTAGAGCCAGCGCAGCCCCCTGGCTCTGGCCAGGTCGCCCTCCACCAGCTCCTTGATGGCATTGTGCTGCAGGTGGAGGGAGATGAGGTTGGGCAGGAGCTGGAAGGTGCCCGAGGGTAAGTGGGTGAAGGCATTACGGTCCAGGTCGAGATAGGCCAACTGCGGGGCCCCCTCAAAGGCAGCAGCTGCCAAAGTAGAGAGGCGGTTGTCGGTGAGGTAGAGGTAGACCAGGCTCTTCAGCCCCCGCAGCGCCCCGGGGTGCAGCACCCCAATGCCACAGCTCTGCAGATGGAGGGACACCAGCTCCTTCAGACCGGGGAATGCGCCTGGTGGCACCGTTCTGAAGGCGTTTCGGCGCAAGTCGAGGAGGCGCGTGTCACCGGGGAAGCCCTGGGGGATGTCCTGCAGGTCCCTGTTCTCACAGGACCCATGATGGAAATCAGGGGAGCAGGTGCACCCCCGGGGGCACTGCCTGCTGCCAGCTGCCCTTGGCTGCTCTGACGGCACAGCAGGGCTGGGGGGTGGCTGGAAGCGGCCACATCTCATTTCGGGGGGTCTCAGGGAGTCAAGGGGCCGGCCCCGGAGGGCAGGGGGTGCAGTGCAGGACCCCTCTGCCTGCACCCGCGCCTGTGCCAGCCAGTTATGGAAGGGGCGCAGGAGGCAGGAGCAGAGCAGGGGGTTCCCAGCCAGGCTGACCCTTGCCAGCCCTCCAGCCCCGGCCAGAGGCGGCAGCCCCTGCAGCTGGTTTTCACGGAGGTCCAGCGTGCGCAGCTGTGGGCTGCGGGCAAAGGCGTCGGGCGCCACATCCTGGAGGGCGGCATGGTCCAGGAAGAGGTGCTTCAGGGAGGCCATGGCCAGGGCCTCCTCGGCCACATAGGTGATGGGATTGTGGCCCAGGTCCAGCCGGGTAGCCCCATCCAGCCTGGCCAAGGCATCCCCAGGCAGCGCCTGCAGCTCATTGTGGTCCAGGCTCAGCCTGCGCAGGGCGGGCAGAGCTGCAAAGGCCTCACTGCCCAGTACGTGGAGAGCGTTGTGGGACAGCCGGAGCCACCTGAGGACCTGCAGACCCTGGAAGACCATGTCCGGAAGGTAGACCAAGGCATTTGCCCTCAGGTCAAGGACAGTGAGTGACCCCAGATGGCCAAAAGCACCTGGCTGGATCTCTTCAATGCGGTTCCCCTCTAGTATGAGCTGCTGGAGGGAGGACAGCCCATCCAGGGACTCCTGGTAGAGGAGGGCTATGCCATTGGAGGCCAGGTTGAGGTAGACCAGCCTCCCCAGCCCCCGGAAAGCCCCTTCCTCCAGCCTCTCCACCTTGCAGCGCTGCAGGTCCAAGTGTGTGAGGTATGGGGTGGCCAGGAAGGCTGCCACCGGGATGACCGTGAAGCTGTTGCCCCGAAGATCCAGTTTTTTGGTGAGCTGTTGATCCGAAAAATAAATGATGAATTACCCCAGGGCTGCCATCCCCACCTCCTCTTCCCCCTGTCCCCTGCCCGCCCCTTCGCCCACCTGCGGGATGGTGTCGGGGACAGCCGTCAGGTTCCCGTTGAGGCAGAGGACATGGGCACGGAGGTTGTCACAGATGCAGGGCAGGGGGCAGCGGGGGGCAGCCATTCCCCCCAGCCTCAGGGCTGCCACAAGCAGGAGGAGCCCCCAGGACAGCCTCATGGCAGAGAGCACCTGCGGCCAGGGAGAGATGGCAGTGAGGCGAGGAGAGGGGCCAGGTTCCCATGCGTCCCCCAGACAGCATTGCCTACTAGCTCTGAGTGCCATGGGGGGGGCCATTGCTCTCACCTAGTGGGGCAGATCTCACCATCTTTTGCCTTCACACCACGATTTTACAAGTTATAAATGAGGAAGAGAGTGGAAGAAGGAGAAAAGAAATAATTAGAATTAAAAGTGAAGGTCACAGAGAGCAGGTCTCCACTTGGAAAGAGCTTTTACCCTGGTTATCTAAGCTCCCTGAGGGAAGGTTGGGAGGACCTGCGAGGAGCATGGCAGGAGCACGAGGTCACTTGTGGGGAACTGGCTTGGAGCAAACACCCCACCACCACCACCTTCTTCATATAGCAGTAGTATAAAATTGTTTTGATCTGTACAGAGTATCAGTACACCTCCTACAACCGAGGCTTATATTTTTGTAAGACAAGCAGGTATCGCTATCCAGGGTGTGTGATCACACGGGCTTTCTGAGCTGCCACCTTTCTTTTAATTGCAAATGTCCCATTTCCACCACCCTGGCCACCTTCCAGCTCAGCGCCTCCCACCCTGCATCCTCTCTGCTTCTTCCCCCTCTCCTCCCCCCTGCCAAGCTATTCATAGCAGTTTTGGGAATAGATCTCCACTGTTTAGCTGCAGGAAGGACAGGTTGGTTTTGGCCAGGCAGGAGGGAGCCCTGGGACGGAGGTGCCAGAGAGGGGCCAAGGCCAGGGCAGGAGCACAGGCGGTGGTGGGACTGCAGATTCGGCCAATACACCACCCACCCACCTCCAGGCTCTGGGGAGCAGCAGCAGTGGGGTCTGCAAGGCTCAAACCTGTGGGGGCCACTGCGGTGCCCATCCCTTTGCCCACCTTCCCCCATGGGCCCATGCTCCCATCCCCTGCCACCACTGCAGCCAGCCCTGCCTCGTCCCCTCCACCCAGCCCCCCGCAGTGTGGCCACCAGCGAGTGCCACCAATGTGACAACCCAGCTGAGCCTGCATCTGGGCATTGCCAGGTCACCATCCCACCACCCCCTCCCGTGCACCTGGGAGGTGAAGGGAGAGAGGGTCACGCACACGGGGACGGCGGTACCTGATCCTTAAGAGGCAGCAAAGAAAAAGGGGAAGCGAGTCCCCCCCCAAGCTCCGTCCAGCAGCTGCCGAGCTCCTGCGCCGGTGTTTGCTCTCCTTGCAGAAGCGAGAGCTGAATGGGCCCCGTTGTGTCGCTTTCCCAGCAGCGCTCACCGGCCGGAGCCAGAAACGCGGGAGGAGGAGGAGGAGGAGGAGAAGGAGGAGGTGGGAAGGGAGGGGGGGAGGAAGGGCAGTGCACCCCCTGGAGAGAGGGCAGTGACCCAGACATTGCCTCCCTCTCTCCTTGCAGGGGGCTGGGGAGCCAAAGCCCGGCCAGAGCCCATGTGGGATCTGTGCTCGCTGTTTCCCAAGCTCTGCCATTTCTTCCCTGCCTGTGTAAGTCACAGGAGCTACGGAGGTGCAGGGCAGAAACATGACATCCAGCCAAAATTGCAATGCCTGAGTGAAAGGAACGAGGCAGCTGGCAAGCCGGGCTATGCCACATTTACAGCCCCCAGTTCTTCTAATTTTGCTTCTCTTCTTGTTTCAAAGAGGAAAGGGGTGGTAGCGCCTGTGTGAACCGTCATTTACTTGTGGAAGACCATGGAGGTTTTCTTCCCCAACTCTATCAGTTCCCTTTTTCTGCTCTGCTTTTTGCTCTCCCAGGGAATGCGAGCACATCTGCAGCCTGACACAAAAAAAAACAACCAACAACAAAACCTGAAAGATTTGATACTAATGTCTCTCTCCTCTTCAAGCCCTTTCCTTAATTCAGCAATCTCAGCTGCCAGAACCAGTATGTCCCATTCCGGTGCCACCTGTGGGCGATAGACAAGCTGGCCAGGTTCTGCAAACCTCCCCACAGCTGGATGGCCAAAGCCTTTTTGGCCACCTCCCTGGGCCAGCATCCCCTCTGTCCTTGCAGGGTCCCAGGGGTGCTTAGTGCTCCTGTGACATGGGGCAAACACCCAACTGCACCGATGGAGGAGGGGCACTGGCTCTGATGCTCATCCCAACTCTGTCATGCAAGAAGGACCACTGGGGACGTAAGTCTAGAGGAGATAAACCTGGCCCAGGCTGGCAGGTGTCACCCCAGGGAGCTCACTGCCTGTGCCAAATCACCAAGACCTGTTTTGGGTTCATGGCTGGCTGACCCCCCTCTACGTCTGGCACCGAGTTTGGGGCGAGCTGAGGATGAGCCCCAAAATGAAGCAGCTGGGAGCCAGGTGTTCACATTCTTTGGGTCCCCTGCAACCTTTCTCCCTGCACACAACAGGAGGAATCCCCTCGCTCAGGCTCAGCTTTGTTGTGGGATGCGCCGCAGCTGGGAAGGAGGAAAGGTCCTGCAGACCCTCGCTGAGCTGGCTGAAGTCGTGTTCAGAGGTGGGCAACGATGCTCCACTGGCCCCATGGCAGATAAAGCTCAGGCACTGGCCAGCAATGGTGCCCGTGAGGATGCTTCATGTGGGGCGGGCAGGTGATGGAGTGGCGGTGGGCTGCAGGGAGGCAGTCTGGTGGGCACTGAGAAATACATGCAGTCAAGAGGATTTCAGCCCACCTGCTGATCCTGAGTGACAGCTTCCTGAGGGTCCCTGCTCCCAGCACAGGGTCACCAGCACAGATGGGCCTTCATGTCCCCCAAGCTGCTCCCACTCTGTGTCAGCTGCCCCAACACCAGCATGTCCTCATCACCCACTGCCATCCCCCATGCCACCAGTGAGCTGACCCTGTAGCACACCTCTTCCCCATGCTGGGCAATCGGTTTCTTCCCAGACCTGCTGGACATCACTGCCCTCCACCTAAGGGGGAGCGGGGTGGAGCAGCTCCAGCTGGGCACTTTCAGGGGCCTGGAGAAACTTGATCACCTCCACCTGAACAACAATCTCCACCACCCCACTGCTGGCCACCCAGCATCTCAGCAGCAACCCCATCCACTGGCTGACTTGGAACCACACACCATGGCCACTATCACCACAGCCCTGGCCACTATGCAACCCACCACCACCTCCCCCAGCTCTGCCTGGCTCACTGTGGGAGCAACACCACCTCCCCCATGTTGGCCTGGGCTGTGACAGGGGACCACAGGGAGGTGGAAATGACTGGGCATCTACCCTCTCCCCAGTCTCTCCACAGGCTTTTAGGTTGTTCATTTACCTAGCAATGATCTCACCATCTTTGCCATCTACTGAGGCTACAGAGGCAGCCAGACTTTGCTCTCTCCACTGGGGTATGGGACATGAGGGTGGCACTCTTGAACTTCCACTTGGTGGGGTTTAGGCTGTTAAAGAAAATGTCTCACCTGTGCCTGCAAGGACCCCAAGCCCATTACTACTGCTACAGGGATTCACTGCTCACAAACACCCCCAAAACTGCCCTCTGCAGACAGAGGTCTTTGCCCCCACTGCTTTGCTGGACTGATGGAGTTAAAATTAAAGATACTTCCAACAGCTGTGGTGCTTTTGGGGTGACATGGTTGCACAAGACAGGATGAAGCAGCACTGGAATGACCCCACATTCCTCCAGGGCACTGCTGGGAAATGGTCATCCTCTGGGAGCAATTCCTAATGGAAACCAGAGCTAGCAATTCCCATCCTCTCTCCCCCCTCCCCCCCCCAAATCCTGAGGGATAAGCCAATTTTAAGGGACTTCTGATTCCATGTCCTACCTGGAAACAATTTTCTGCAGAGCCTGTCACTTCTACACTCACACACCCCTTTTTCCTATAGACATCCAACCTTGTCACTGAATACCAGCACCAGGAAAATCCTGTTTCTAAATACTGTTTAGCTTTTGAGAGAAACTTAAGGATCAACATCTGACACTTGTTCTGCTATGGCTTGGCTACTCAAAGCTTCCCACACAGGTTCTCCCCATGACCTGGCCCACAGGCTTTTGCATGAGCAAGCAACAGCATCCCTTGCACACACGACATGCTCCAAACGACCCATTGCAGATGGCCTCCTTGTAGGGGTTAACCCCTTGGAATTGGTCTCTGCATCACATTCCTTTTCTCCACAGCACTCCTCCAGGGCAGAGGGACCTGAAGATCAGCAAGAGGCCAGGGAGCTTCAAGGAAAGCTACACTAGGTTCAAGACTTACAGAAAACACAGATTCTTTTAAGTCTCGATTTTGCCCTCAAGCTCGTGGCAGAAGTGAACATATTTGCTTTTGCAACAGGCAGCTGAAGGAACAGGATGGGATGAGGTGAAGGAGGCAGGGCTCAGCCTGCAGTGATTGAAGCTCCTTCTGTAGGCGCAGGTACCTTCACTTCCGTTGAGTTTTACCAATTTGGACACAGATGAGTTCCAGCTTCAGTCATAGAAACTGGGAGAAAATGCCTTTTGCTCTTAACCTCAGGGCAGTCTTTTTTTGATGCGTGGACACTACTCTTACATAAAGGCGAACACCTCCCCTGCCAGAGTGACAAGAAACACTGCTTTCCTGAGCCTGCTGGTTCATAGCCACCCCAGTTTCACCAGTGATTGCCTTGAACAGGCCCACAACCTGGAGGAATTTAAGCACAGAGTGCATGCAAGTAGGTCTTGCACATACCACACACTTTATTTCAATCCAGTGCCCCAAGCTCTTTTTTTTCCTGTCCGTGCTGCCCGCACACCCTGTAAGTTAACATCAGCTTTTCCTGCATTTAGGTCAGTCATGTGCCCTACATTGTCTCTCATAGCAAAGGGACAGATAACTCCATTTCCTTGACTTCTTCCTGGCACTGGTCCTATTTGTACCACATGTCGATTGTAAGGCTGGACAAATAGTCTCCTCCAACTGAAAACAGAGAGGGAAGGAACAACTCTTTGCTACCTAAAGAGATGTGTCCTCAGAGGCTTGAAAAATGAGGGAAAAGGACGAGCCTGTGAGCTCGTGTGCTCAGGAGTGGTAC